ATAACACATCACTACATCCCTTGTGTAGTGGTATCCAGCCATCAGTATTCATTACTCGAAAGTAGTATCCACACATCACTACATCCCTTGTGTAGTGGCATCCACAACAAACAAAACACCCTGCAAACCCTTCCAAACACAACCGCTCCAGGAACACATTCATCCGGCACTACATGAAACAATACCTGCATTGAGCATCCCTGCATAGTGACATCCGTTAGTATTTGAACGCCACAATCCACGTTGAATGAACCCAAACCTAATAATGCCACCAAAGCATGAAGACGCTTGCCAGGAAACCCCTGTGCCAAACTTTCCTTAACTAGAGAGCACTGAAAACCTGAATCAAAACAAAAAAGAAATCTCCAATCAAAGGTTTCCTCGCGATGTTTTCCTTCACCGTTTGTGCATAACTCTGTAAAAGTCACATTGGTACTTGCCGTTGGTAGGTTTCGAACCCGCACCCACATGCAAGAGAAGCAGGCATCTTAAACCTCCGGGCCACCACGACTACATTACTTACATAATAATATAAACAAAGATAATATTATACACCTACATATTCTAGACCCTGTTTGCATCTGGTTAAGACCTCACTAAAGCCTTTTATGAATGGCCCTAAGAAAGGAAGGTTCAGGAATATTTTCCAGTTTATTATAGGATGGTAATCCTTGTTTTGTTTTTGTAACACTACAAGTAAACGTGGAGAACTTCGTGTAAATGTTTTAGTAAATAAATGAGTGTTAGGTATCTTTTTGTACAAGGAACATGGATATTTTCTTTAAACATGTATATACTAGTTATTCAGAAGTGTTTTGTTCGTCTAGTGGCCACGTTAAGTTTTGACCATCCCGTTTAGAATTACTTTTTACTAATAAAATGTTATTTCATTCCATTTTTTAATTGGCTTTGGAATGGCTCCAACTGAATTAATTATTATTTTTATGACTTTATTCACGTTATTGTTTGACGAGGAACTCGACCAGTTTCAAGCCATGGATGCACGCATGAGCAGCATTCGGTGACATACGACGCGATAACCCTCGCGCTGCTACTATAACTATAATTTAGTATGTCCAAACTTTTTTTCGAATCAGCATTGTGTAACTTCAAAATCTTTTTACAAGTATGTTCAAAACTCTTGCCAAGTGTGCAGATTATGGCAAACTCTTTATGACTTAGGAAGCTCCTAGCCCAGTAAGACTTCGGAGTCGCGGAGAACCTAACGGGTTACCGGGGCTCCGGCTCGACGTGCAGGAGAAGGAACGGGGTGGTTTTTAGTCAGTAAGAGTCTGACACTCCCTCCCGCCTCACCCAGGCGGGAGCAGTCATTTGATGATTTTCCCCCCTTAAAAAAAACCCAGTACCTAAGACTAGAATGCTTATTAATGATGAATTTCAAGTAACTCAATATTATGCCATCGTAAAAGAATAGGCATGATTCTCTACTATTTGGTACTATAACAATCAAAGGAAAGCTCATTATAATATTGACTAGTGCCTTTAAACAATTACTGAACACAAACCCTACAATTTCTATTACCTGGTTCAGTTCTCCGAAGTATTGGCCTGTTTATAAGTACAGCTTATTCTTGATTCTCTTCTATATAATCGTTTTAGAGTAGGTTCTTGTATGTGTATTAAAGATAATTATTAGGTATTGTTAGTTTAGACTAGGTAAATAATAAAGACTTGGTAGCTGTATTTAACTTTGTTTCGCTTTTCAAACAATACAATATTTAAATTAACTAAAAATCGCAGGTTACTCACGTGAATATACTGAGAAAAGCTCTACTAGTTTCGAACCACTAAGAGGTTCTTCCTAATGAGCAGTATAAATATATATCAGTATAAATTTAACCTTTTATCTGTTGAAACACCGGCTCCCGGTATAAAACACATTATACCAGCAACTTTTAACATACAAGAGGATGTTATATTTATTCAATAAATGCCATTAGACGAAATCAAATGTGTCAATCTAAATAAACAAGATCTACCGGTACCACGCCTATAATTTGAATGAAATGCTACTGATAGTTTTTTTTAACTTAGACTTAATTAAGTAGTTCAGTAATGTTAATCATACTAGATAAATAATTAATTACTTATAGGTACCTCTACTTATAATAGAAGATACAAACAGGTACGAAACTATCATCAATTTATAGACTACCACCAAAAAATCTAT